CTTCATTGCTTTACCAGGTGGTCTAGGCACATTGGAAGAGATCTTTCATATTTCCTCTTGGGCTCAACTGCACATTCACCATAAACCCATAGGTTTGTTAAATGTTAATGGTTATTATGATAAGTTGTTGTCTTTTCTTGATCATGCTGTGGAACAGGAATTTCTAACATCTTCTGCACGACAAATCATAATCTCTGCTGCTACTGCTGAACAATTAATTGACCAACTACAATCCTTCATTCCTGTAATTGATCCTTCCATGAGTCATATAAATTGGTCAACTAAGGAAAGCCGTAAAAAGCTTAGATTGGATTTGAGTCTTCATTTGTGAATTTTTATGTCTTTTGGTTCTATTATTGTGTTTTGTTATTTCTTATTTTTGTTTCAGTGTGTTTCAGGTTTGTCAGTGTTCGTTATTTCAGGTGATATCTTCTATACTCTATCTTTCTACCTTAGAACATTGAGGACAATGTCTCGTTTTGGTTGGGGGGAGAGGGTAGTAGTTGATAAAAAAAAAATTATTTTCCATTTCATAAAGCATGTGCATAATTGTTGTTACTAGGATGGCAGAGTAAAGGAGCTCTTTTGTTAAAGTGACTCTTGAGACGCATCTTAGTAACCATTCTTAAGAAGGTCTATTATAATACTTCTTGAAATATTCAGATTTACAAACTCTCGCATTATTATCACTCAATTCTGCTCATATATTGATTTAACATGTATTCTTAAACCTTAATTTACACACACACACTTTAACATATGTTTGTGGGTTGCATATTGGATTATTACATTATTTATGTTCTTTTGTTAAAGGTAACAACTAAGGGAAAGGGATTGTATATAATTAAAAAAAAAAAAAAACAAAAACAAAAAAAAAAATGAAAAAAAAGAAAAAAAAGAAAAAAAAATGATGATAATAAAAATGTAGATAAGTTTGGTTTCGTAGCCTCCCTAACCTAAGCAATTAAGCCCGAAGGGGTGTTTTAACACCTAATACCCTAAAGTCAACTGACTTGGAAAAGGGATTGTATATAATTAAAAAAAAAGAGAAAAAAATAAAAAGAAAAAAAATGATAATAATAAAAACGTAGATAAGTTTGGTTTCGTAGCCTCCCTAACCTAAGTAATTAAGCTCGTAGGGGTGTTTTAACACCTAATACCCTAAAGTCAACTGACTTGGGAGCTATTGGCCCAACGCTTGTTACATGGGTTGAGGAGAAAAGCTTAAGGAAATCAAACATTGCACTATCTACATATCAGTATCTGCGACCCGAGTTACTAAGCTCGTAGGGGTGTCTTAACACCTAATGCCCTAAGACCAACTGGTCTGGGAGTCATTAGCTGAAAGCTCGTTACATGGGTTAAAGATGCATGATGTTTTCAAAGTATATGTATATAGAGTTAAAAAAAAAAGAAAAAAAAAAGAAAAAAAAAAGACAAAAATAGTAATCCCAACCCAAGGAAGTTAACCTTAAACATTAGAACAAAAATTTTGTTTTCTTCCAAGAAAAGCCCCATAATTATGTGTTGATACATTGAGCACAAAAGAAAGGTTTTTGAATATCTTGTTAAGAGGTATTGAGCAGGTATATAAATTTAACGAGAGTTTGTTTATCTGGATAGATTAATGGAAGTTAAATGATGAATACCTTGCTTTGTAGAATTTGCAAATTGTTTTTCTATTTTAACGCTTTGATTACTAGGGACTAATAATAAGCTGGTTGGAGGGTGTGATTAGTACTTAAAAGTGCATTTCTATCAAGGTTTTATATCATCATTTTGCACTTGAAGTATCACTAACTCCTTAACTAAAGCATGTTTTATAATAATATATCTAATAATATAAGATACCTTTAATTTGTGGTAAATGTTCATTTTAAATACAGGCCTATCACATAAATGAAAGGATTGATTGATGACTTGAAGAACTTAAATTGCAAAGGCAAAGAGATGGCCAAACATTCATTTTAAATGAAGGCCTATCACATAAATGAAAGGATTGATTGATGACTTTAAGAACTTAAATTGCAAGGGCAAAAAGATGACCAAAATTAGAAAAGAGATGTCGGTGCAATCCAAATCGGAACACTATTCGGTAATTGGGTCATATCTGGAGCTATAGATCTCATATTTAGGTCTACTTTATATGGATGGAAAGGTAAGACATAGGCCTACAACTTTCATATGGAGCCCAAGATCTAAAAAGGCCATTATCAAGTCCAAATTGTAGCAACAACAAAGAAGCCCGAATCTGTCTTCCAGCCCGAGCACTGTTCGGTATTTTGGCCATATCTGGAGTTCTAGAAGTCCAAATGAGCTGAATGTTTTACACAAGAAAGCTGAGACAATTGCCTACAACTTTCATGTTTGCAACTGGCTCCAATTTTGACGTTATCAATGACGTTTTGGGCAGACAAGAGAAGATAAGGATTGTCACCAAGTCAAAAGTTGGTCACCCACTTATCAATTAGTCATCAAATCAATAGTTCCCAATTTTGGCCTATAAAAGGAGGCATTTGCCATGCATTTAGGCATCTTGGTGTTCAGATCAAGATCATGCTCTTCCTTTCTCTCTTTGTATTTTTTATGCTTTGTTTTCATTAATATTAAGTTTATGCCTTTCATTTCCTTTCCTTTACTTAGTTAACTTTTATGTTCTTATTTTGTTTATCTATTTTGCTTTCTTTCATTATGTCTAGCTAAGTTAATTATGTCAAGGTGAAAAGGTTACACTAATGGTGTAAGAATAAGTATAATGTAAACTTAATATGGACTTTAATGTTTGATACTAACATGTTTTATATTTGCTATCTTGTTCACTCTTTAATACTTTGCTTGTTAAATGACTAATCTTGATTTATGTTGTATAACACTTGGTACAACAAATGCTTGGCACTTTCATAGCCCATAATGTATGGTATAACCGACACCTGAGCTATGAAAGGAACTTGATTTGTTGTTAACATAAGTTATAATCATGAATGCTTGACGAGATTTACAAGTATTAGCATTAATTGAATAAGATGACTAATGTAATCATGTTAACAATATATAATCTGATTGGAACCTCCTTTGTGTGTGGTTTCCAATTCAATAATAAGAGTTTATACTATACTTGTTTGATATACCATTAGTGGAACCTCTAACCTTGACATTTGTTATTATCATTGTTTAATCGTTACATTAATATTCCATCTCAAAGTTCTCATCATCTTCTTCTTCTTCTCTTTCTTTATTATTATTATTATTACTACTACTACTACTACTACTACTACTACTACTACTACTACTACTACTACTACTACTACTACTACTACTACTACTACTACTACTACTACTACTACTACTACTACTACTACTACTACTACTACTACTACTACTACTACTACTACTACTACTACTACTACTACTACTACTACTACTACTACTA